TGGCGAACCTTTATATTTAGAGGGGAAATAAATATATATATATATATATATATATTGTGAGTGTAAGGAAGCTGCACTAATTTTTTTTTATTAACGGAACTGTCATTTAATAACAATAGACACCAATTTCAGTTCAGTGGGGTTACTATCTATTTTGTAATAAATATTTAAAATTACTCAATTACCCCTGCACCCTGAAACACCATTAGTTTTTTATTCTCTGTAGTGTTGTCAGAATTTAGGACCATTATGACTCTCCTTGCCTTCTGATACAGCAGAAGCATGTGCCATGCCAAGTAGAACATAGATTAAGTAGATCTTCAAAAAAGGCTCCAAGCACTAACAACAAGTATTGTGCTGTACCACATTGCATTAGCTTAACATATAACGCATCAAATAAAATATTTTTCAGCATACTAAAAGGAGAAAAAAGACATGATTGTTGCTAAGCCAGCAAATGTGATTAAAAAAAATCTCTGTCTGCAATTTCTTCATTATTCTGTTGTAAAGACCATTTTACAAAAGTTATTTTTATCATTTAATGTTATAAGATTTTCCATAACTATTTTTTCCATTTATCAAATTTTTTTATTTTTGTTCTGCATCCAAACCATCTGTACACTTGTTTTTCACCTTATTGAAATCAAATTTTTAGGGCTAAAAAATAATTAATCTTATTTTTATCCTGAAGAAAAAATGTAGAATTGAAATAAAAATTAAAAAGAGGTTGGAATTATTTGCATCGCTTCTAAAATAATTTTTGATGTAAATAATAAAAAATAAGAATTTTTTAAAAGAAATGAAAAAAATATTTCCTTATAAAAACTTAAAATTCTAAATTTTATTCCTTACAATTTCCTCTAAGATTAAATCAGTAAGTAAAAATTTTCAAAATAATTCTTATTTTTATATATATACCAATATATTATTGATAAAATATACCAGTATTAATAAAAAAATTTATTTACTTCAAAACTTATTGGAAAAAAAGGGAAAATTATGAAAGTAGTTTCAACATTTCTTTCTTTTTTTTTTTATTTATCAATTTATTTTATTTTGTTCTGCTCAAACTTTTATTTTTTTTTTCTTCGACTTTCAGGCAAAAGTGTGAATTGTGCTCCTATAGACTACCCCAGGTTGTTAGAGTAAAATAGCAAACAAAACAAAATACCGTCAAACTTGGTTAAAACGAAACCACTTAACTTGAATTTTCACTTAAGACGAAAGAAAACAGTTTCCCCATCACGTTATCTTATAACAACTGCAATAATGCATCGTTTAAACATTAAAAGATATTTTTTACATTTAAGCTGAAGTAAATATTGCACCTAATGCGCAAAACATTCCTCATTATGACCTCTGTAGTGACCTTCTTTGTCTAAATAAGTTTATTAAAGTTTAGCTTAAAGAAGTAAATATATTTTTAAATTTTACTTTTGATTTAAGGCATTTTTTCTTTATATATATCATTTTTGAATTTGTGATATCTTTGCATTAGTGATTTGTTTTTTAAAATCATCCTGAATGTCTTTTGCTGTTTTATCAGTTAATATGAAAAAAAAATTGTTACCTTTCAACTTCGTCTCAACTCGAAAATTATTTTATGCTTCCGCTTTAATGTTTTTTTAAAAATGTTTCCTGTTGATAATATTTTCATTTTTGCATGTTTTTGTCTGTGGATTATTTTGTTTGTTTCTTAGCTTGGCATGGCAAATAAGGGAGAATTTGATGTTGGTTACCATTGTGATTAGAGGTTTCCATTTGATTAACATTATGATGATTATGATTACCTCTATGTGTCATACTTCTTAAACTATTTTAAATATTATAAGTAATAGTTTTCTTAATTTTTTAAAGATTTTCTTTATGTCTTCAAATATCTTTTTAATTGTAAAAAATTTCTGTTCTGATGTTTCTGTTCTTAGATGATTCTAAAGAAGATTTGATGAGCGATGCCAAAACTAATTATCTTCTCAGTACAAAACCATCACTTTTACCACCTCGGGTACCTGTAAGTGCCTATTTTTGTGACAATCAAATAATTGAACTGGTTTCAAAAATGTGTTTTATCTTAAATTTATAGCCAATACTTTTGAATCCTCTGTAAAATGTTCTTGCCTATTTATAATTTGATGTATATATGTTTTTATTGTCCATAAAAAAATGCTGAAGGCAATAGAGTGTCACCCTCTTTAGCAGTTCTGCAGTTTATCTCATTCCCTCTTCTACTACTTTTAAGTTTAACTTGCTAGTCACAAGAATCTTTATAGTCTTTTTGTTTGTCTTAAAATATCGACACTCATTAGTTTTTCCCTACTAATTAAGGCTCTGACATGTTCTCATTTTGCTTAAGTGTGTGTTTTTTTTTATTCCATTTTTTTATAAACTTACGCCATATACAAATAATTACTAAGGAATATAATTATTAAGAGGTCGCATTCCTCATGAAATTTCTAAAAATCTACCAAAATTTTGTTGGTATTTCTTTAAAAAAAGTAATATTTAACTTACTTATTAAGGCTTTTCAAGGCATTTGGCACGCAAAACATCTAGCCTTCTTCTTCATACAAGTCTTGGACTTGGGATCTGGTTTCCTCGAATCTTTTAAATTTTGCCCTTTTGAAATCTACCTAATTTTGTCACTGCAAGGTCATTCTTGGTCTTCTATTTCTCCTACAATCAGGATCCCAGGAGAGAAACGTGTTAATTTTCCTCTTGGTATATGGCGCATTTGCACCTACTCTTGTTATTTCTTTTTCTGTCATAGTGAGGTTTCCTTTTCTAATGTTTAATTTCTTATTTTACAATCCAAAATATTATTAATAAGACAAATAGTTTTGAAAAACTTCATGTTTTTGGATGTCTGACTTTCTAAGGCACCATGTATCAGAGCCATATTATAAATTTTTTCTGACTTGTTTTATATATATTTTTGTTTTATATATATTTTTGTTTTGTATTAAATGCTTGTAGACTTCAAGAATTTTTTTGAGGATTCTAAAATAGATTCTTGCATGAATGATTATGTTCTTAATATCTGTCTCTACAATTATCTCTTGGTACATTTTACCAACTTCACCTCTTTCTGCTGAATCCTTTGTCTCTTTAGCTATTTCTCCGTAAAACATCTTATCTTCCCTTGGAATTTTTCTTATTTGTTTGCTTAAATGTAAGTATTGATTTTTGCAAATGTTTTGTAATCTTATTGATTTTGTGCTGTTCATAATGCTTTTCACTTTTTCTTTCTTTTTGATTATCAACAGCATTCTTCCTGTTCTGCATTTATTTTTCTGCTTTTTCCTCCTTCCCAAGCCCTCATTTACGGTATTGTTATAAGTCTCCCTGTAACTTTTCCAGAGATGCTCAACTTAGTTTTCAATTTCATAATTTACCAAGTTTTCTTACTCTTAAAGATGTTTAAATCTGTTCTTTAATTCCAGTGTGAAATTCTTTCTTGTATTGCCATCCTTCACTTTTTTTAATATAACATATTCTCTTATTTACTTTTTCTCTATTGTTCTTTTGTTATTTCAGCTTAATAAGTAATACCATAAGAAAATTATCACTCCTTGTATCTGCATTTTTGCACTTACATCTTCGAATGCTTGTAATGATCTTATGACTTTTCAATTTATGACAATGGGATCAATTTGATTTTTGTGGTTTCCATCTGGTGATGTCCATGTTAGTCATGGGAATTGGAATTCTAGTCATGGGAGTTCATTATATTTGAATAACCTTTCATTTATCACTAGGTTATTTTATTTACAAAAGCTTGCAAATAGTTAACCGTTTTCCTTTCTCTTTCCAATAGCTTTGCCGTCAACTACTCTTTACGGTGTAGTACATTTTCTTTCAACTTTAGCATTCTGATCAGCCAGCAGCAAATGTTTGGAATTTTTCTAGTTCAATCTGTATTGTCATGTGTGGCAGTACATACTTGAATGAATTTCATAAATCAAAAATGAAATCTATGATAAGGCTTCATTCAGCTTCATCTGACGTAATAATTACAACTCCTCTCTGGTGTTTATCCTCCAGTCTAGAGTATGATTATTTATTTACGATTTTCAATCTACCGAACTCTGTCCACCTAACTTCTGGCACTCCTAGAATATTAAACTCAATTAGAAACTTTGAGTATATAGTAACAATTATGTTTAACAAGTCTTAATAAAAAATTTTGATCAAAAACAACATTTAGCAAAGATGGAGATGACCGGTTTTTAATACTCACAACCTGTCATATGTGGCTTGTTTTGAAGAAAAATGTGATTTTCAATTGCATACAAAAAAATTTTTTGTTTAAATTGGGCATTGTTTCTTGAATTCAGTTGATAAAAAAGGTTACTTAAAACTTTCCAAAAACTGAAACAAATTTTCAATATTTGTGGAGATGGTCAATTTTGCAACTGAGAAACACAATTGTTTCTAATTTTTTTCTTTTGTGAGAGTTTTTAAATAAATACTCCTGCAACTAAAGAAATAATTGATGTTAAAAAGAATTTAAAATCAACACAAAGAAAACTTGCCACTTTTTTATTTATATTTTTAGGAACTGGTTGACCAGTTTTTCCTAAATTTTGCATTTTAACATCAAAAATTACTTAAGTCCTCCTTTCTGTTCAAACTTAAAGCTCAAAATTAAATTCAATATCCTTTGTTTTTTTTGTTGATTTGTTATGTATGATATTGTGTAAACTGACAGAGATGTTATGATGAATCCTGTTAACAAAGTGTAAAAATCTTAATGCATTTTTTTTCTTCAATTTTAACGTTAATAATTATTTTTTCCCTTTTTAAAAATTTATTCCATTTAAAATTTGTGTTAAATTTACACAAGAAAATGAAAATAAAATTTGATTATTTTAAGTTCATAATTTATTATTTTCCTCTAAATGTTTCTTTAAAAATTTCATTTTATATTAGGAACGGAGTAGTAGTAGAGATCGCCGTCCAAATAATTGGCAAGGAAGGCCAGTTCATTTATGGACCACAACACAAGTTGGACAGTGGCTTATGGTTCTTGGGATGGAACAGTACATTAAAAGCTTTCAGGCACATGAGATTACTGGTATTAAATTACTAAATCTTGATAGTACCACTCTTAAGGTAAGCATTGAATCAATTTTTGTCTTCAACAATATTTGTAAAAGCCTAAAATCTTCATTTTATCTACAGATATAGATAATATTCAAATAACTTTCTAAATTTGAAACAAAGGAACTTGTTATGGAACTTTTGAATTATGCCGGATTTAAGACCTTTGTGGAAACCCACATTTGCGTAACATGGAAGGGAAAATTCTGAAAATCTTTCAAGTGTCATTGCAAAGAGGTGTAGTCTGGGATCTATATATCCCCAAAAGATATTTTATATTTTTATTATTAGCAGTGGAATCTAAGAGAAAAATTAAACCATACTGAAATTCAGACTTTTCTTTCGATTGTAGAATATATCATTCATTTGGTGAAACAATAACATAACTGATAGTTAAAGTAATATTCAGTTATGTTATTGTTTCACCAAATGAGCGATATGCATACAAAATCATGGATTAATTTTTAAGTGAGTATAAGCAAGCATTAGACAATAGTACGGCAGGAGCACCACAAGCAAAAATGATTCGGAAGATAAAATTAGCAAATTATTCTCAAAAATATTTAAATTTTGTGTTGACGAGCACTGAAGTAAATAGAAAAGGAAGCCCTTTGTGTGTCATTTCCTCAAAAATTTTGGCAACAGACTGAAAAATCTTTAATTAGCAAATTAAAAGCAAAGACCATTCTTAAAAATAACTCTGTGAAGGAGAGAGCTTTACTTGCCACTTACAAAGTTGCAAATCAAGAAGTCTCACACTTAAAGCTCTAGAGTTGCCAATGAGCGAGCATAACAGTGAAAATGGCTACTAAGAAATCGAGTCACTTAACATGCGAACTACGTTAAGGATGAAACATAAAAAGAAAAATTTTAAATTCCAGTCAATTCCACTGAATATCAAAGTGAATTTTCAATCGCTTTTTCAGCAGATATTATATCAATTTCTGAATGACTTTTAAATTTTGATATTTTTAAAATATTAAAATACATGTATTTGGAATTCTACCTTGTAATATTTCTAGTGCAGTGTTCTTTTATTTTAATGTTCTATTAATTATTTTCTATGATTTAATTTTTAAAATATTTGGTTTATTATTTGGAAGTTGATTCCTTAAATAAATATATACTTTTATAATAAAATTCATTAACAATATGTTTGCCAATGATTTGTAAGCTAAGTTTGCACTGTAAATTTAGAAAAAATTTAGTTAAACTTATAGACTTTGCAATGGGAAGAGTGGCCATGAGTAGCACCTACTTAGGTACTTATTTTAGTAGTACTAATAGGATATTTATAAGGCAAATAAGAGAACACCTGATAGTGTAACTGCAAAGATGATAGCAAATAGACCTATTACTAATAAATAAAGTGATGCCACAGATATTTGATATGTAAGGTCGTACTGTTGTGAATTCTGACCAACATTTGATTTAAATACGAAGACATAATTATATGAAATTGTAAGATATAATTATAAGAAGAAGGGGGCCAGAGATAATAGTTTATGTAATTAATATGAACAAAAATATAGACAATCCTTCACTGTTGCAGCAATTTTTCAAAGTTAAAGAGGAATTACTAGATTAAGTTAGAAGAGAAGACAGAGATAAAATTAAAAGTAATCTCATGAAGGAAAGAGGGAAGACAATTAAATTGTTCTTGAAAAATATATTTTATGAAATAATTAATGAGGAGCAGCTTAAAAAGAGAGGGAAGTGATTTTGCAATGAGTATAAAAATACTTTAAATGAATAAAAATTTAACAAAAGAGTGAATTATTTAAGAGGAGGGCTAGGTTTAGTAATTATACTTACATTGTGACGAGAAGAGAAGCAAATAAATGTCACTATAGGCAAAGCAAAGGACATGGGAAAATAATAGATTAAAACATTTTGAATAACTATATTGGATTTTAATTCAAGAAATTATATCTGTTGATCAGTGAAAAGTGACTTTTTTGAAGAAAAAGAAAAATATTTTCAATAGTTAGGAAATAAAATTTGGGGATTTCTTTAACCCAGTGTGGGAGGAGGTGATGTGGAAGGTTGAAAGTGAAACTGTAAAGGAAATGGAGTGCATTGATTAAGAGTAAATGTTAGATATCATTAAAAAGTTAAGAACCTCTCAGTTTCATAGCCATTATAGGCTACTGCTTAATTGTATAAATACAGTAGCAAAAGGTTACTAGCAAAACATGCTTATCTGTTATGAAAGATACGGAATAGTGAAGAGATGCAAAAGTTAGAGATACTTCTAAAATTTAGGAGTAAATGTCTAATTCACAAGAATAGAGACAATGCTGTTTGTAATACCGATCAAGGGATTTCTCTCTTGGATGTTTTAAAAAATTTTAAATGTAGTGTAAAATCTATGAAGGAACTAACAACTCTTTGATGATACTTATTTTGAGATGTATATTTTCAAGGTTAACATAAGCATAAAATGTAACTAGAAACTAATGATATATAATAATTATACCATTCGAAGTAGACTTGATTTTTAATGCTTGTGTCTCTTAAATATCATGTAACTAATAAGCAAATAAAATGTATATAGTTTTCATTCTATTATCATATTATTTTATTGTTCTGACACTTAACCAGCATGACAAGTCTCAATATCTGGGTGCTCGAAGCTGCTATCATGTATTGCAAAAGCAGTTAAGATGGTTTTCTGACCAATTGTTAATAACCAACTCTAAGACATAAACAATGAGAAAGTGTTATAAAAAGTTATCGAAAGTAAAAGGAAGAAAAAAAGGGTTTTGAATAAAGCTTTTTGAAAAGTTAGGGAAAAGGAGAGATAGGAAATTAGAACAGATTAGGAAATCTATAACTGTTGCAATGAATCATAAATTGTGACAGATAAGAATCCAATGCCTTGATGCTCCTGTGGCACAGTCAGTAAAGACGTAGCTCACTCCACTAATGGAGATCTATGGGTTATGAGTTTGATGCTGAAAGCAGACTTAACAACCTGCGTGTATATGCAGCAAGATGCACAAAAAATCTATCATAGCTCAAAGTCTTCTCATTGGTTGTGAAGTTTTCTAAAAGCTATAAGAGGTAATATCTTGGAAGTTGATTAGATATGTTTTTAACTTAAATGTTAAATCTAATGAACATTCTGAATTAAATAATTGTAGTTAAAAAGAGACAAGCAAAGTTTCAAACTGCTTTTAACCCTGAAATTTTAGGGACGTAATGATATCTAATTATCTATTTCTAATTTTTAACTTTAAATAATGTTTATCTCTTGAATCATTTATTTTATCTTTTATTTTCTTTGATATTGTTTGGCTAAACTCATTAGAAGTAGTACATTTAATTTATTATAATTTCATTATAAATAAATTATTTGCTTTTTTTTATTTTTTTATTATTTTTTTTAGACTATCGGAGTGAATAATAGGAACGATTTGTCAGCTATTAAAAAGAAACTTAAAGAAATGAAAACTCTTCTTGAGAAAGAAAGGAAAGCTCATGAAAAAGAACAAAAAGCTTTAGAAAAATTGCAGAAAAAGGCAGAGAAAGCTCGTAAAAAGTAAGAAATCATGTTTGCAAGAGACTGAAGAAGTGTAATGTGAAAATGCTTTAAAGCGAAATTGATATAACTAACTTTGCTTGGCTAAAACTTCCTGCGTAAGTGCCAAAACCTACATTTTCATAGAATGATTTGTAAATTTCATATAAATTTTACTACTTTTAAATAATTACTTAATATTTATACTTCCATTGTTATTTTATTTTTTGTATTATATTAAGAATGAAATTGAATTTTGTGTGTTAAAATTTTACAAGATATTTTGTTACATTTTTATAGTTGAAATCGTTTATTATGTTCTATTTTTGCTGTATATTATTTAGTTCACAACTTTTACTCAACGTTAATGTGACAAAACTCTGTATTCCTGAATACTGAGCATTTTGTATCTCTTTTATATATTTATACTCTAGTATCTGTGTAATAGGTATATACAGTGGATATACTTGTGGTTTGTCATTATGTGATATTTATTCAGCTAATGCTTGCTTCAATGCAATTTAGAAGCAGGCCAAATTAATAGATTCCATGTTATTGAGATTTCGGTATTGTGCTATAATACTTGCAATTTTCCATTTTATGAAAGTATCCTTTGGAATAATAGCTATTTATATTTTACTTAATGCATAATTAAATTTACTTTTTTCATTACTTATTCTATCATAAATTTAGTTAGAAATGTAGAAGCAAGTCTTTGCAACTCTAGTTGTATTGAAATTAGAAGTACAGGTGTGTTAAAAATATATTTCCTGATAAGAAATAGCCCTTAAAGTTATTTTTCAATGTAAAATTATTTGATAGGTGGTTGAGTTGCATTCAAAATTAATCAACGCCATATTTATAATTGCTCAAAACAAATTCTCTACACTGACCCATGCCAATTACTCGAACTTGAAGAGATTATACAAAGCTTATCAGAAAATATTTTTTTATATTTACTAGTATATTTTATTAGTAAAACGAGAAATGTTGTAAGGATCCTTTTATTTTCATTAATATTTTAGCAACAAATTTACTTTTATGAATAAGGAAAGCAAAATTTAATTCTTTTTTTTTAAAATTCTTTTTCTTTACTTCTGACTTGAAAAAAGCTTGAACTGTTATAATTTCCTTTATGTTTTACTAACGAGAAACTTCTTTGGATTAGTTAACGTTGGCATGATGTATTTCTTATTAATCAAGGTTGAAGTGCTATGCAAGCGAAGGGAGAAAAAAATTCTATTTACATGGGCTTTTTGTGGTGGCCTATTCTTTTAATAAAGCTTTCTTGGTTTTATTACTTTTGACAATTTTGCCAAATTAGATTTTATTTATAAAGAAAAAATATTTAAAAATAGAAATCAGTCTAAAAATTTTAAATATCAATTGTTTTTTTTTTGTTTTTTTAATATATTCAAAAAATGCATATAATTACTAGTGCATGTAATTATTAATGCATATAATGGATTAGTTAACGTTGGCATGATGTATTTCTTATTAATCAAGTTTGAAGTGCTATGCAAGCGAAGGGAGAAAAAAATTCTATTTGCATGGGCTTTTTGTGGTGGCCTATTCTTTTAATAAAGCTTTCTTGGTTTTATTACTTTTGACAATTTTGCCAAATTAGATTTTATTTATAAAGAAAAAATATTTAAAAATAGAAATCAGTCTAAAAATTTTAAATATCAATTGTTTTTTTTTTGTTTTTTTAATATATTCAAAAAATGCATATAATTTGTTCTCAAAAATTCTAAGAGTATCAGTATTTTTTTAATCTGTTCTGCATAATGTGACCTACATCATGCTTTCCTCATAAATTGAAATTCATAATCTAGACTGCTCTATTAATTCTCTCCCCCCCCCCCATCATATTAGACCCACGGTTAAGTTTGACAATTAGACATAAATCTAATAACTTCAAAAAATTATTTTATTAAAAACATTTTAAAATCACATTATTGACTTCCATTTTAAATTCATATTTGACTTTCTTTGTCGCATTTTTTTACTTTGTATAATTGTTAAAAATTTTAAATCTTGATAAGTGGAACTTGGTGATTATTATTTAAAAAGCATTTACGAGCCTAGCAAAGCCAAGAGTTGCTAGTCACATTGTTGTAAACCGACTTTTAACTGGTATTAGACTATCACTATTTTAGCATTTTACATGTGCTATTTTTTTTTGAATATATGTATATAAATTAATCTCACTATGCATTTTTTCACAGCAGTTTATGTATCTTAAATCTATAAAAAGATGTACTTGTGAAATTTTTTAAAGAAAATTTTGAAATTGAAACCACCTCATCTTCTGTAACATCATTTTGTTGTGAGTTCTTAAACTTTGTTTCCCATTCCAAATTTTTTTAGATATGCATGTTAAGTTATTTGTGAACTGATAATTTCATTTGTTGAATTTAATCTAAGTGTGTTAAATTTTCTTCTGCTGATAATCTATTCAATCTTTTTGTCAGGGCAATTTTCTAGTAACTTAAAGGGGAAAGTTTCAGTCTTTTGATGGATTTCCATCGTTCTGAAAAATTTTAAAGCAAAGTGAAATGGAGCAAGATAAAAATTTAATGTCAAAAGTCTATAACTCAAGCTTCATCAAAGTATTTCTTAAACAATCATCCTATATTTTTATTCTCTTCAGATTTTTTTTCAGACAATTTTCTTAGAAATCTTAGTTTTTATTCTAAGTATAAAGATATATATTTAAATTTTTAGATACTCAAAAACCAGGTACATATTTTTTTTTTTTTTTTATTTCCTTCTAGAGAATTTTCTCAGGTTTTGCCCTATTATAACTGAAATTAAAGCATAATATGTTGGCTCGAAGAAACTTAGACTCCAATCCTTTCTGGGTGGAGAGTCTCGTCAATTTTTTTTACTGAAAAATATTAAATATTACTGTTAAATTCTTTAACGCATGGCAGCATCAACTTGTAAATTCTATAATGCTGGAATTACACTAAATCATACAAGATATAGTTATCTAGTCAGATCAATTGAAACAAAACTTTTGGTTCACTTTAAACAGAAACACTCTAGATATTCTCAAAAGCCACATGATGCGGAAAAATAGAGGCTATTAAAAAGTTTTAATTTAAAAATGAATTAAAATTTCTACCAATTCTGAAATCCAATTTTCTGACCAAATTCTGGAAGTAGGTGATAAAAACAATTCGAACTTATATGCGAAATGCACAACTTGTTGATGGAATTAGGTGCCGTGGGAATTTTTAAAAACCTTGTGAGTACAATGTTTATTGATTAATATGTAGAGCATTTTATCTTTAAGCAGTGATGATTTGTTCTAACTAGTGTCGATGATGACGAAGTAGGGAAATTAATTCCAAATTCACCTTAATTAGCATCTGTTATTTCTCTAATATTTTTATACCACCTGAGATCTGCAGAAACAAATATCAAACTTGGTACTACAAATAGAAGAAATGAAGAGATTTAAATATATCAGTCTACCAAGACCAAGATTCCAGAAACTAATCCCAGATTTTTGCCAGTAAAGGTGGGTAAAGGTCAAACTGATTAATCTTTATATTCGTGAAAATGAACCAGCAAACCATTTTTTAATTGATATTGAGGCAGAAATATTAGTTATTCCACCATAGCTATCAGAAAAATGAACCATGTGTAATCTTGAGCTTTTTGCATCTAACAGTACAAAAGTCCTAACATATGATCATTAAGTGTTGAAACTGGATTTAAGGTTGCCCAGATTCTTTAATTAGAATTTATAATTGTGGACGTCAATAAACCTATTGTCAAAATAGACTTTCTTTCATATTTTAAATTATTAATTAAAAGGAAAATTGACATTTCCACCTCACTAGTCTGTTGTATAACAATGGCATCACTCCTAAATTAATTGTAAATACTTTGCAAAACCAATATAGATCTATTTTAACTATTCTCATGCTCACCATTTCTAACTATTTAAACCCAACATAAAAATATAATAAAATTAAAGAACATAATGTACAGCATCTCATTGAAACTAAAAAAAAAGCCCCATATTCTTTGAAGTCAGAAGACTATAGTCAAAAGAAATTATCTAAATTTTTAATTACTACAATTAAAATTATAAGGAAAATCAGAAATTTAATTCAAGTATCTTTGTGAACAATTTTATGGTATATAAGATCTTATTAGGTGTTTCACGTTGTGTTTCATAACCAATACACTGTAAAAATATCTTACAATATTTAAAAGGTGCTAATGATTATAAGTTTTTATTTAAAAATTAAAGTAATGAATTAATCAAGTCATAATTTTAAAATTTCTGTTAAGTTTATTCAATTGAAATTATTGCAAAAAAAATTTTATTGCATTGTCGAAGTTAACTTTCTTCTAAGCTACATATTTCTAAGAAAAATTGCATTTTGTGCCATTATTTAAAGCTTGAGTCTCAAGAGATTAAATCAATTTTGAATTTTCAGTACATTTTTAAGAAGCAAACCTTAGGTGTATTTACGAAATGGGCTTGCGTTAAAATATATATGGTACTATTTCTTGAGGGGTTTTTTTACTATATTTTTGTGTTTTTTTTCTCTTTATAATTTCAAACTGTAATGTTGAATGTCAGTGTTAAGTAATTTTAGCTAGATAATTTTTACATTTCGAATTAGAGATTTTAATGAAATTGGAATTTTAATGCCAAAAATTTTAGCAAACTTTTGCTCAATTTTTTTTTAATGAATACTGTGTCCTGCTGCAGCATTAATTGCTAAATAATATTTCATTCGTGATTTTGGATGCTGGTTAAATATTTTTCGTGGTTTAAAATTTTTTTTCAGTTTTACTAATCAATTTTCAACTTCTACAAAAACAAAAGAAGAGACAATCATTTATTTCTGTGTTCAGTTTATTTCTGTGTGCGAGTCTAGTCATATAGTACATTTTAAAAATTTCTTTGTTTATTTAGTCATTTGAGAAACCACCATGTTATATTTCTTTTACCTACCAAAAAGTGTTCATTTATTCTAGAAACTGAACTGTCTAATAATGAAAAATCTTTTTAGGACAAATTTAATTGGTTTTAGAAAAGGAAATATTCTAGAATTTAACTTATTATATTTTTCCAAGAAAGAAATGGGAAAAAAATGCCCTTGTATTTTGTCTACCTTTATTATGTATATAACTTTAATATTACTTGACATCTCATGTTATGAAATAACTAAATCTCTTTGTTCTAGAGTATTTCAATTTTAAAAAGTATTGAAATTAAAACTCAACGATAGGAAAAAATTCTTTAAAAATATCATGCTTTTTTTAATTAATTTCTTTACTCCTCTGAGTGTTTAGATTTATTTTTCCCCTTTATAAAATAATTGCTTTTCATCATCAAAAACAAATATTAGACCATTTTGCACTGAGCGCAATTCGGTAAAAGATTAATTCTCTTAGCATTCCACATGGTATATTCCTTATTTCTTCTGACTGCTTTCCTGCTTTAAAACAGTTCCCTACCTCAAATTTTTAAATGTATAAAATCTTCTGTTTTCCTAATTCCAGTTTTCTCTTTACATATCTTGTCCTATTAATTTTCTTTCAGCATTATTTTTCAATCTTAGGATTTTGTTATTTTTAAATATATTTCGTATCCTTTAAATATGTGCTTTATATTTGTTTTTATAGTTTAGATAACACTTATGATCCTTTTTTATTGCTAACATAATTAAGAATGGTTTTATATATATAAATATATACTGTAAAACCTCGGTTAAGCGAGCATTCTTTGGACTGAAAATATTATCCGTTTATGACAGTTGTCCATTTACGAGAAGGGTACCCTAATAATGAAGCATAACACCGTAAATTGTTTTTACAATATTTTAAAAGATGTAGAAGTAATTAAATAATCTACAATAACTATCTACAAGGATATTTATTTAAACTTTAAGAAAGATAAAAAAGAATATATAAAGAAGTTTAATATAAATACATAATTCTAGATGTAGCTACAGGTAAAGGAATATAATTTTCTTATAAGCATAGATACTCAGGTTAGACATATGATACCGCGATTGGAACTTTCAGTCCATAATCGGTTTCAATTATTAGGTTTACATCCCCTTACACCTACCTCTCATTTGATAGGGAACATGGTTAATACCTTCTTAAAAGTAAACCTCCCATGATTCACAACAAAAGCAATGCATACCTGTAAGCCATGAGGACCTATGGAGTTGATTATTCACAATTAATCAGCTATCAAGTGTTTTAATAAATGTTTCATTTATATGAACACCTCAAAGATTATATTTCTGTTCTCTTTTTTACCCCAGCTGTA